AGAAGAAGAAGAAGAAGAAGAAGAAGAAGAAGAAGAAGAAGAAGAAGAAGAAGCAGCAGCAGCTGTGGGGAGTGGGACTGTGGGGAATGGGCGAGCTGGATGAAGGGTGATGGAGACAATTTTGGGTTGGAATCCCCCAGAGAACTACTCCTCAATGAGAAAGGAAAGAAACTAAGACAGAGACCAACAAAAGACAAGGAAAAGGGCAAGCACCAACAAGATGAAGAAGAATTGCAGAAGGGACATGGAAGAGACTTAAGGGCCTCGGACATAAGGCTTCCAGGTTGATGGACTAGATGGAATGGACAGTCAGGACTGACACGACCCGAGACCAGGAAGAAGAGATGCTGGATGATGATTGAAAGAGAATTTACAATGGAAATTTTGTATTTTAGAATCAGCTTAATGAATATTAGGGAAAATGTGGGAATGAAACTATACGACTCTAGCAGAAATGTTATCAGGAGCTATGTATATTTGAAAACTAAGATTTAAGTCTTAAGGTACATAGGGGTAAGATAAGGTTAAATAAATTAAGATAATTTGAATAACAGAATATGGGGAAAGATGGAAAGGATTTGTTGAGTTAATTATTAGGTTAAATTGTTAAGATAAATTTTATAACAAAAATTGAGAAAGATGGAAAGAATTTGCTGAAAAAATTATCAAGCTAGAATACAAAAAGGGAGGTGTGAGGAGGTCAATGAAACAAGCAAATGGAAATTATGGATATGCAATTTGGGATTTGTGTTTTTTCTCCTTTTTTTCTTCTTCTTTATTTTCTTTTGCTGTATTGTCGTATATTTTGTGCTTTTCTCTTTATTTATTTATTTATTTATTTTTATTTTTTTGTATTGTAGTGTTGTTGTTTTTTGTTTTTTATTTTTCTTGTAATCTTGAAATTATCAATAAATATTATTTAAAAAGAAGAAGAAGAAGAAGAAGAAGAAGAAGAAGAAGAAGAAGAAGAAGAAAGAAAAAAGAAAAAAAGAAAGAAAGAAAGAAAGAAAGAAAGAAAGAAAGAAAGAAAGAAAATCGCTTGCAAATACTGTATACTACACCTGTTAGGCATGGAGAGTCCTCCTCTCCCTTTGGTAACTTTACAGATAAGAATTAACGAGCATTTGATATATTTATAGTCCTTTTATTACAGCATCATGTTGCAAGCACAAATACACAGCTCTCTGCAAGGAGGGCAGTTGGCTACTCTAAACCCTCCTTCCAACTTCCGCAGCAATTAAGACGGCAACGGGAAGTTCCTCCCTCTCTCTGTCTCCTTTGCTCTCTGATACATTTGGACCTCCATGGGGGGGTCCATGGGGGGGTCACCCACACTCTCAAGTGATGTCTCGACTAGCTGTCCCCTCCCTTCTGGCTCCCTTGTCATTATCTCATAACTGGGTAACTCCTCCCTAAGTTGTTCAGCTTCTCTCTCTCTCTCTCTCTCTCTCTCTCTCTCTCTCTCTCTCTGCTACTGAACATGCTGTGGACATGTGGGGGGTGACTCTTTCCCCCTCCAGCTCTTCATCAGAGAAAAGCTGGCCTGCCATAGAATGCATTCCCTAGTCCTCATCTTCAGACCATTCCCTGACAACACCAGACAAAATTGCATATAAAAATGTGTGTATTGGGAGCAAGGAGCATTAGAATGTGGGTGGGTTTTCTAGCACATAAACAAATGTCCAGCTTGTGTTCTGCTGCAGCGTAAAAGTGCCCCTCCAGATGGCAATAATGAAATAAACCGTGGGGAAGCATCACATAACTAACAAAGCAAAAATGACGTGTGGACACTCCAGTATAAATCCACAACCACTGCACTATTTTTGAGTCAATGACATGTTGGAATATAACCAGTCTTGGAGGACCCTACAGATGAGGAAGGACCAACTGGATCATGAAGTCCAGTGGTGCCCTGGAGGTAATTCCAAAGAGTAGGTGCTGCCACACTGAAAGGTTAATTCTCCACTCAGCAGCATTCATTTATTTCCTTAGCCAAACTTCACTGCAGCAAGTCTTCAGCTCCAAATGTGTGTATATGGTCAGGAATGTTTCTTGCTTAAAAACGGATTACGGCATGCAAATCAACCTAGCGGTGGCTCCTGTCCAGTTGTGGGGAGAGAGAATTGGCACCCTGTCTGCTTTCATTGAAAACGAAGCATGTCTTTTGAGTAAAATGAATGGACTTCCTGGAATCCCATTTCACTATTAGGAAAGTAATTCTCCCTCCCACTCAACAACATAGCTAACTTAAACGGCGTATTAGAGATGGTGATTCAGTGGCAAAACCAACAGACACAATCTGCATTTGGAGAGCCAAATGGAGAGCAATTGGTTATAACAGACAGATAAGACGCCTAATTGAGATTTCATTGAAACCCATTGGAAATAATTAAAATTGACTTTTAATACTTTGCAAACTAATTAAGAGTATTGGACTGGATAACTACACCGAAGTCTAGCTGGTGCTTAATTGGACTGAAATGAATCATAATTGGAAATAAATGTAGCACGGAGTGATAAACATCAATACCACGGGGGCGGGGAGGCTGTGGACATCCCTCCTCCGCAGTGACAAGGAGGACATAGGAGGAAAGGCAAGCATGTTGTATGATAGATCTCTTCTACCACCCACAAGGGTCAAAGACTCTTCCAGGGAAAGTAGAAGGTAGCAAAATGTACAGATTGTTCTTTAAATATTTTGTTTCATTGCTAATGATATTGTTTAACTGTTGTTTTTAATACTAATGCTACTACTAATAATAATAATAATATGGCGCGCACTGAATAAAACATTTCAAAGTGCCTTGCAATACCAACAAGGGTCAAAGACCTTTCCAGGGAAAACCAAAGGTAGCAAATTGTATGCAGATTATTCTTTTTTCTAAGTTTTGTTTCAGTGCTAATTAGATGATTTAGCTGTTGCTGTCACTAATAGTAATATAAATAAGAAAAATAGCAATGTTTATTCATTACTACATAAAATGTCTCAAAGTGACTTGCAATTGTGTGTGTGTATACACACACACACACACACACACACACACACACATATATATATATATATATATATATATCACACATCTAAAGTTTTAAACAACTTCGAAAAAATACCTGGCACTATGCTAAAATGGGCAAATCCTTCCTCTGCCTGCTAAAAGATGCACACCAGGACAGGCTAAGGCACCATCAGACTTCTATATCAGTGAGAAACCAGACGCTTGAGTAAGCAGGAACATCTTCTCTTGCACCTAAAAATGGGTAATGATGGTGCCAAGCACACTTCACTGTGGACAACATGCCACAACCAGGGAGCCACCAATGAAAAGGCCCGTTCTTGTGCTGCCACCATCCCATAAAGGAGGCACATGGAGAAGTGACTGCAGTGATGAATCCAGGGCCCAGGGGCCTGAGGTGTTGGGGTCCTAAGCTGCATATGACTTTGTAGGTCAAAACCAGCACTTTGGATTGATCCCAGAAATTCACTGGCAGCCAATGCTATTGGGCCAGGATTGGTGCTGTTACGTTCAGACATCCTCTTCCTTGGCTGCCGAGTTCTGTAGTAGCTGCAGTTTCTGAACTACCTTCAAAGGCCATTGACCTTTCTGTAGGACCTTAGCACTTGTGTGCCACTCGATCTGTGTGTATGTGTGTGAGACATGGGGGTGGGGGAGTGTCTGCATATATGAGCAAGAGAGTGTGCACTGGGTGTGACAGTGTGGCAGAAAGAGGGACAGTGTAAAAGGGAAGATTTTATTTCATTTTATAATGTGCATAAAACTAAGAGAACAGTTATAGCAACAGGTGAAAATTAAAAGTTGGGAAACAATGCTATTAAAACAGGCGTGTAGAATAAGTATAGTTGCGCATGGATTAAAATAACAAAAGTCCAGGTAAAGAATATTAGCTTTATCTGATTATCAAATTGTTGTTAGGATCTGACTGTCTCAAGAGGCAATAGAATTTGCTTCCAGGGGTGAAGTCAAACCACTGGAGAATCACAGCGCCTGCTGCGGCTACAGAGACTGGCAACTTGTTACTGCTTCCTCCTGCATTGTTTCCTTCCCAGTGCTCCCACTTCCAGGGTACCCAGATAAGAGGGATTAACTGTTGAACCACTCTGGAATTTTGAATATTTATCCTAGAGCTCAATGTGACATACATGGTTCCGCCCAGTGCTTTTTTTCTATAAAAAAAAATGTTTAGGGAGTACTCTCACTTTCCTACTCATATTGAAATACTGCCCCTCTACGAGGCCAAACTTAGATTCACAAAATGTTTAGAGATATGCATACTTCTGTGTCCCCTCAGAAAAAAATCACTGGTTCCACCACTTAGCTTGACAACAACCTTGTGAGATTTGGTTAGAAAGAAGGGAAATAACTGAGACAAAATCAACAGGTGAGCTTTATTTGTGAGCAGGGGGCTTTGAACCAGAGTGCTCCCCATCACTATATATACTACACTGCCTTGTTGCAACCACAGATTTTAGCTATTTTGCATAGCTGGATTTGGGTCCCATCTCATCATGCCAAGAGAAGCAGCTGCCCACTGTGTGCCCAAAGAAAAACTGGCCATTTCTTGGACTCAACGACATTTTGGAAAGAAACATTCCCATCAAGCGGGAAGTGCATTGTGTGACCAATTTTCAACAAGCCCTGGTGACACTTGATTTTTCCATTGTTTAAATACAGAAAGAAGGAAAAGAGAGAGAGAGAGAGAATGAGAATTTTGTGAAAAGGGTGCCCTTTAGAGCCGTTGTGTCTTCAGAATTTATTGATCTGAAGTCTGCAGTTTGAGCAAAGTAATCTTGATCATAAACACCTGAAGCACCAAACTATAAAACTGAAGGTAAAGGCTGTGTGTGAGATGGGCAGATGTAGAGAGCTTGCAGGAGGAAAGGGTGAGAGCAATTTTCTTTTCTTTTCAGTTTCTATGCTACTCCACCCCCCTATTCTTTGAAGTTCACTCAAGTTTGGAAATAAATTTAAAAATTAAAAAATGGTCCAGTAGCACCTTAGAGACCAACTAAGTTTGTTCTGAGTATAAGCTTTCTGGTATAAGATAAGGTATCTGAAGAAGTGTGCATGCACACGAAAGCTTAAACCCAGAACAAACTTAGTTGGTCTTTAAGGTGCTACTGGACAATTTTTTTATTTATTTCGACTGCATCAGACCAACATGGCTACCTACCTGAATCAAGTTTGGAAATTAGGCATGTGATGTTTAAAAAAAATGGCCTCTACAGTGGTACCTCAGGTTAAGTACTTAATTCGTTCCGGAGGTCAGTTCTTAACCTGAAACTGTTCTTAACCTGAAGCACCACTTTAGCTAATTGTTTTAGCAAAGTTCTTAACCTGAGGTAATATTTCTGGGTTAGTGGAGTCTGTAATCTGAAGTGTATGTAACCTGAAGCTTATGTAACCCGAGGTACCACTGTATTTGAAGGAATCCTGTACAATCCCGAATGCAGTGCTGGATTTTGTCTTTATTTATTGCATTTCTACCTGATCTTTTTCTCTGAGGAGCTCAAAGTGGCATACATGGTTCTCCCCCTCCCCATTTAAACTCCACAACAACCCTGTATAAGGCAACTTCCTGTTTTCCTAAATTCTCAAATATTGAATTCCTCAAGCATCAGTTGTAGCCTGCCTGAAGCTTCAGGATGAACCTAGATAAATATTGCCTCCCTCCATCCCTTATGATTCATTGCCTTGCTTTTTGACAGAGGGTGACCAGTGAAAATGGCTCCCAGTGGGATTCAAGCACAATGTCAGCCTGGCTCTTGTTCCCTATGCGAGCATAAATTTCCCAAGAGATCCCAGAAGTTGCCCCTTTTTAATTAAGTACCTCGACTCCAGCATATAAACAGCTCCTCGGCATCGCATCAGCAGTTTCCAAGCCATATGGACATTAGTGTGTGCTTATGCACAAGAGAGACTGAGAGATAAATCACCAAGTCCTTTAATGAAATGACAACCCAGCTTTAAGATAGAGGGTCGTTGGCTGAATATTAGGAAAACAACCTCACTTATAAACAATAAGCAATTTATTTTTAAAAATCACACAAGTTCAATTGTGGCTATATACACACATATATATATCCCAATCTAGCATATGTGGTCTCTGATCCAATGAAATATAAATATATATCCCATTTATGGCTATATGCACATACCTGTGAGTAAGTTTCACTGAACTCAATGGGACTTATTTCTGAATAGATTTGTATAGGATTGCAGGGTAAAGATGCACTAAGCAACTGATGTACAGTGATATTGAAATTGTAAGTATATTTGCACATGACTTATCACAGTGGCGGACTTTGGCATCTCAACTTTCATTGGCACCCTGCATCTACCCCACCCACCTTTTGCCTCTCTAGGACTTCATAGCTACAGTGCCCTAGAATTAGTTGGATTTTACATTATGGGCAGAGTTTGAGTTCCAACAGGTATCAGGGTAGTTGAAGTCTACCATAGCTATTACACGTATATCTTGCTTTTTCATGTTTTGTAATCCGAACTACGATTAAGCAAGGGCACTACTGGGTTTTTCTTCTTCTTCTTCTTCTTCTTCTTCTTCTTCTTCTTCTTCTTCTTTATTGAATAATGACATCTGAGGATAACAGGGCAGTTTACAATATAATACAGTCATACCTCTTGTTACGTTTGCACATTTTCAGGTTGCATCCCGCGGCCAAGTACCGGAAAGGGTTACTTCCAGGTTTGGCCGCTCGCGCATCTGCAGACACGCAAAATGACATCACGCGCATGTGCAGAAGCAGCGAATCCCGGCCCACAGACACGGGTTGCATTCTGCTCATTTTGCGAACGGGGCTCTGGAACGGATCCCGTTCGCAACCAGAGGTACCACTGTAACACAAAAATACATTACCTAGTAACAAAAAAGGATAACCACCCTCCCTCACAGTTTGAAATGCCATAGATTGTTTAATTAGCCAAAGGCTAATCAAGATGATGCCACCAAACCTTTCCACTCCCCTGACTGGTGACTTCAAAAGACTGGCCAGTAGCCAAGGGTGATAGCTCATTACTCCTATGGTGACCTCCTACGTCAATGACGCCTGGGCAGCTGTCCAGTGCCTTATTGTGATGGCCTTTAAAGGAATCCCATCACCCATATGACTGTGGTCTTACCAGAAGACCACACCCCTTTCCAGTGACATCATACATTTCTATGCATAATTACCTCTTTAAAGGATGCATCCTAAAAGGATTAGACAAATTGGTGGGGAACAAGGCTCTCAGTGAGTACTAGCCACAATGGCTGAGTTCTACCTTCACTGTCAAAGGGAGTAAGCCTCTGAATATCAGTTCCTGGAAATTGCAGGCGGGCAGAGTGCTCTTGCACTCATGTCCTACTTGGGGGCTTCCGACAGGCATCTGGTTGGCCACTGTGAGAACAGGATGGACTAAATGGGCCATGGGGCTGATCCAGTAGGGCTCTTCTTACATTCTTATTCTATTATTAGCTAAGCAATTTCAGGTTAATACAGTTGCCCTGCATAAGTCCCAAAGAGACAACCTGTTGAAATGCCACAATCTCCTTGTGATCACAACACCTCTTCCTCATATTTCCCATACAGAGCTTCAGTCTGGACCCACCAGGCAAGATGAAAAGGCTCTGGCAGCTGCAACAAGTCAATACAGTGGTACCTCAGGTTAAGTACTTAATTTGTTCTGGAGGTCCGTTCTTAACTTGAAACTGTTCTTAACCTGAAGCACTACTTTAGCTAATGGGGCCTCCTGCTGCTGTGCCGCCGGAGCACAATTTCTGTTCTCATCCTGAAGCAAAGTTCTTAACCTGAGGTACTATTTCTGGGTTAGCAGAGTCTGTAACCTGAAGCGTACGTAACCCGAGGTACCACTGTACTGAAGCAACTTCTCTCCTGTTCTTACCTTAAGCTCTCCTGTCCATGGTCCAAAGCCTTGCTCTTAAGCACTGACCAGCACCCCAGGCCTTGTCCAGGATCCTAACATTACTCCAACAGAAAGCTTGCTAGGACAGCTCTAAGCCTGCTTCCACCACCTCATTTGGGCTGTCGCCATTTCTTGGCAATGGAAATAGCTATGGGTATCCTGGAATCATAGAACTGAAGAGTTGGAAGGTACCCCTGAGAGGAATTTAGTCCAGCCCTCTGCAGTGCAGGAATTACAGCTAAAGAATCTCTGGCAGATGGCCATCCAGCCTCTGTTTAAAAACCGCCAATGAAGAAGAGTCCAGAACCCTCTGGGGAGTCTATTCCATTGTCAAACAGCTCTTACACTCCCTTAGAAAGTAATCCAGAATTTCCATTTTTGTCATTTGAATCCATCTGTTCAGGTTCTCCCCTCCAGAGCAGCAGAAAACAAACTTGCTCCATCTTCCATATGACAGCCCTTCAGATATTTGAAGATGTCTATCATATCACATCTCAGTCCCCTCTTCTTCAACTCCCTCAACCATTTCTCAAAAGGCTTGGTTTACAGATCCTTTATCATCTTGGTCTCCCTCATATGCTGTGGCTGTTTCTACTCTGTCCCAAGTCTCTCACTTCTATCTCCATTTCCATGTTTCCTTTCCACTAATATCTCCACTTTGAAAAGATGGTTGTGTTCTTAGCCTTTCACTCCTCCTTGTTTCATTTTTTGTTTTGCTTTATTTTTGCACAGTCAATTCTGTCGGTGGCCATGAAAATATTTTTTTTCTCCAAGCAAACAGCTGCTTCCCCCCCTTTAATTATCCTTCCTTGCATTACTAATTTGTAGGAATCCTTAAATTCTCCACCTTAACAGCTTGTTTGTATCTTGCAACAGCCTCCCTGCTGATAGTTTATATTAATCTTTATCCTTGAAATGTCTACTTAAACTCTATTGGCCTCTGTTGCCTTCTACGTTTCTTTTTTTTCTTATTCCACGGCTCCATTTTAACTAGGATGAATCGCTCATACCAGCTTCATTCCTTATTTCTGAATACTTCAGTGAAGCTCCAATTAGAGAGAATTAATTTGCTCTCTTGCATCTCAGGGAGCAGAAGCTGAGACGAGGAATATTTCTGTAGAACTGGGTGTTGCATCCAATATTAGTTCTACTCAGAGTAAACCTACTGAAATTAATGATTAACTTTGGCCAATTAAGTTCAATGGGTCTACTCAGAGTAGGACTTAGCTGGCTACAACTCTGTATCTGTAAGCCAGGAATGGGCAACCTTTTTCATGTTCCTCATATAAACTCTCCTGGGAGCCACATGCTGGCATTTGATAGGCCAAAACTACCTTTTTCAGTGGTTAGAGTGCTATACAAGGACATTAAAACCTTGTTCATCCATGAAACTCACTGGATGGGCTTGGGCCGATCACAGTCTTTCAGCCTAACCTACCTCACAGGGTTGTTGTGGTGATGAAATAGGGAGGAAGAGAACTATATATACCACCTTGAGCTTCTTGGAAGACATGTAGGATATAAATGCAATAAATAATAAATTTGTGAAGTGATTGCCACCCACACTATTTTTCTGTCTCTGAAGCACCTTAAGAGAGAAAGGCCTTATTTGTGGTTGCTGAAGCACAGGAGGGTTAAAAGTGTGTAGGGGGTCAGGGGTACACATGCAAGCCCCACAGCTGTAGGCTTCTGTCAGACCTTCATGCATTGAGCACTAATCTGAGTCTGAGTCCTTAATCCAGTGGGAGCCAGAACATTCATAGAGGATGGAAAGTCCTGGAGAAGTGTTTACCTGAAGGGGGTTAGCGGGTGGCACTGTGGTCTAAACCACTGAGCCTCTTGGGCTTGCTGATCAGAAGGTCAGCGGTTCGAATCCCCACGATGGGGTGAGCTCCTGTTCCTCTGTCCCAGCTCCTGCCAACATAGCAGTTCGAAAGCATGCCAGTGCAAGTAGATAAATAGGTACTGCTGCGGCGGGAAGGTAAATGGCATTTCCATGTGCTCTGGTTTCTGTCACGGCGTACTGTTGCACCAGAAGCGATTTAGTCATGCTGGCCACATGACCCGGAAAGCTGTCTGTGGACAAATGCCAGCTCCCTCGGCCTGAAAGCGAGATGAGCACCGCAACCTCATAGTCGCCTTTAATTGGACTTAACCGTCTAGGGGTCCTTTACCTTTTTCACTTGAAGGAAGAACATATTCAGCACCCACGTCCACTCTGCAATAATAATGCACTCCCCAAACCCTGCACCCTGAAAATGAGGCAACTATCAGAAGCAGGGATGGGTGAAGCCACCTGTCAGGGGTTCAGGGAGAGAGGCACAGGGTAGGCAGGAGATGGAGAGCGATGGGGAGGAATTCCAAGCCAGCGAGGAAGAGGATGACAATGACTCAAGAGATTCCATGAGTCTTTCCAGCGAATCAGAGGATTCCCAGAGGGGGCGCCGGTGGTTAAGGCCAGGGAGCCCCAGGGGGACGTGTCAGGAGCAGGGGCCAGCGGAGGATCCCAAAGTGGCAGCTGGGCGTCAGGACCAGCCTCCCCACCAGAGTGCAGCGAAGGGGGTGGAGTTTCCAGTGTGTCAGAGGAAGCAGCTCCGGGAGCAGAAAAAGGAGGGAGGTCAGAGCAAGCTGCCTTCCGGAAGGGGAGGGGAGCAGTGAAGGGAGTAGTGTAACTGTCAAAAGGAAAGTTAGAGGTTTGGCGCGCGCGCCTAGTTCAAATGTAGAGGCGCGCGGAAGTACAGGGAGCCCGGAGGAGGGGCCAGGTCCCAAAGCCCGCAGGAGGGGGAAGAGCAGTCTGGGGATTCAGCGTCAGAGGAATCCAGGAGGGGCGAAACCCCAGCGGGCAGAAGGACCCTGCGGAAAAGGAAGGAGAGAAAGAGGTGGAGCAGCGCAAGTCTCTTAAATTGGTGCAGGGGAGGGACGGATTCAGAGGGGACTTCAGCGGTCTAGCGTAAGAGACGTAAGGCTGCGCGCCTAGGATGTCAAGCAAACCATGAACTGCAATAAACACCTTTGTATATAAGAAGACATAGGCGTTGGTCTTTTGTGAGCTGAGACTTGAGGCAGCCTTGACACCACCTATTTCCATTCTATGTCTATCTCACAAGTATTTATGCATAAGTCTACTCTGGCCCATTTCAATTTCCATCTGTATTTTTTTCCCTCCTGCAAAATGTCTGTGCAAACAATCAATATATTTTCTCCAAAACAAATATTTAAATGTGGATTTTATCCCAATGTACACATTTCTAAACCTATTTCATTATTAAAATATACAATGCCATATGCATTTTGGTACATTTCCCCCCATGTCACAAAATTCAAAGACCTGTGAAAGACCTGTGAAATCTGAAGAATTCCCTGAAGGATGCAAACTGAATGAAATTCTCTTCCAATCGTAAAGAGAATTTTGGAAAGTGGTGATTGGGAAAGTGCATTATGAACTTTCCTGGGGGTAAGCCCTATTGAACTCTGCAGGGTTTGCATAGGAGCAGACATGCATAAGAGTGTGCTGCTGCTGACTATTTTAATAACACTGATATCAACATTCACAATGGATAACTTGAGAGGAGTACCTTCTTCCTCGCATTTGGAGACCACAAAGGATGATCCAGAGGTCTCTTGGGGGCATATTAGGCCAAAGCTTTGATGAACTGCCATAAATTAAAACCTTGTATCAAAGAGGAGATCTCCTCTAGCATGGTTTCTTCCCAGTTTTCTCCTCCATCAACCAGAAAGGGCTAAACTGTATCATCAAAAGCATAGCCAGATGGGGCCGCGCTCATAAAAGTTTTAAACCCTGCATGCCTTCTGCTCCTGTTTTAAAAAAAAGGTCCTAGGATCTCACAGGCTGTTACATCACCCAGTCTCTTCAAGTGAAAATAATTTTATGGTTAACTACGGACCATCTGTTAGCTGCTGCTTTTTCTAACAGAGTCCATGCTCTTTATGGTTTATTAATAATTATTTATACTCTTGAAAGTGTAATCATGTTAAAGGAGGCTGGCAACGTTGCTGCCAACCACCACCATTCCCCATACAGCCCTGCAGTGCTCCCAGAAAAAACCCTTTGTGGGTGGAGGAAACAGGATCATGCAAAGCGGACTTTTAGTCTCAGCAGATGGCAGAGATGTCAAACGGCAGGGAACAAATCGGGCATTAAAAGTTTTCCCGGTGACAAAGTTGCATTTCACACATGTCTAAGGATGAAGTTATTTTCTCCACATTCCGTTCCTTTGTCATTCCTCCTGGCACGTGGCTCCTAGTCCAGCGTCCTGTTGTCATGGTGGCCACCCAGATGCCATTGGGAAACTTGAGCATAAGAGCACTCCCCCCCACACACACACACACTGCAGCTTCCAGCAACTGGTATTCAGAAGCATGATTGCCTCCGACATCTTCCTCGTGTTGCACAAAGCCAGCGTGGTGTAGTGGTTAAGAGCAGTGGACTCGTAATCTGGTGAACCAGGTTCAATTCCCTGCTCCTCCACATGCAGCTGCTGGGTGACCTTGGGCTAGTCACACTTCTTTGACTTCTTTGAAGTCTCTCAGCCTCACTCACCTCACAGAGTGTTTGTTGTGGGGAAGGAAGGGAAAGGAGATTGTTAGCCGCTTTGAGACTCCTTAGGGTAGTGATAAAGCGGGATATCAAATCCAAACTCCTCCTCCTCCTCCTCCTCTTCTTCTTCTTCTTCTTTGTCCTGATTCCACCAGGAGAATCTGGTGAAATTAATTCCAGAATTGTGCAAGCACACATATTGTCACAGCTGTCAGGTCACTGGCACCCTTCCCCAACCCTGCCAACCCCTGATCTTACTGAGGAGCAGAGACAGACGAGAAATTTGGCTCAATTCACATTTTTTTAATGCCAACCTACCTAAATCCCAGTTCCTGAAGCTGAATTGGGGCCATCTTCACACAGTGTCAATTTGCTAAATGGGAACACAGTGCCACAAGATGGCTAGAGGCTTAGATTGCTTTAACAGGAAATTACCTGAAGGTAAAAGAGTTCATCAGTGGCTTCCAATTCTTCCATCCTCCACGTTCAGAGGTCAGTGCTGATGCAGATGTTGAACGACTGGCCTAATGTGCTTCTGATAGTCCTTCTCTCTCGAAAATTAAACCACCCCATGGAAATTTGACAGGATGGAATGCCTTGAGAGGCAGGTGACATCCACATTTCCTTTAAGTTTCCTCCAGTTCTTTCCCCCCTCCACACCAGATCTGGGCAGAAGCTAGAGGTTTATTTATAGCTGATTGTTTCCATCACAAAAAGAAGCACAGCAGGGTTGTGGCCAGATGCTTGTTTACAGAGTGTGGATCACCTTCAAAGGGCTTTGTGGGAAGCAGCAGCCTTAGAAAAGTCAGCAAACAGGCACTCTTGGGTGATCATCTGAGCCGGAGCCAGAAGCTGATGTCACTGGGCATCGGTAAAGGTCCACAAATTTTCAGGAAGCCAGATGCCAAGCCAGACAGCCTTCTGTGCCATCCTTGCCATTGATACATCTTCAGCTTCTCTCTTTGAGCATCAATAGTATGCATTGTGAAATTTTGGGGATTTAATTTTGACAGGAATGTAAAATGCTACTAAAGAAACTATTTTTCGCTGCCCCAAATTAATGTTTCTGAATATGTTTTTTTATGATACCAGTGTAGATATATTGTCGAAAGAATCGGTCTTATATATGATCTTGGCAACGCCAATGCTAATTGCAACACAATGGAAAAGCAACCCCAAATCTCACATGGGATACTTGGCACCACTCACTCTGGAATATAGCTATAATGGAGAAAATTATGCATAATTTGAGATGTCAGCAAGGACTAGAGCCTCCAGACACTTTTTATATGATTTGGCATTCTTTCATTAAATATAGAGGAGAAACATCAATTTCAAGACAACCCTTGTCGAAAGCCTGGCAAATCCAGACCTATACTTAAATCATCAGGTAACGTTAATATTTCTTTACTTGTATTTTGCTATTATAACCTGTGTACAAGTGTATTCATTCTGTGTAACTATTTTATAGTTTCGTGTTTTGTGTTTTAATTGTCATCTGTTGTTTTAACTGTCCTCTCTTTTATATACACGATAACATGAAAGTTTAAAAACTTTGCATAGCAGTACCTGCATGTACTTGGCTGTCACTGATTCCGGGTCCCCATACTGTTGCTCTCCTTGACTTCCACTCTGTCTCAAAGGGCACCAGCCACTGCTTCAAACAGGCTGGAGAGTGGTTTGCTGGGGGTGGTTTGGCTCTCCTGCATAAGGTAAGGTGGTGGAAGAGATGGCCTACAAGCTCCCCCTACAAGCACTATGAGTCTGTGATTAACTGGTCTCCCTTCCTCTACTGGGAAGGATGAAATATCTGGTAATCTCCATCAGAAGGACATGACCAGAGCTGGATGCTTGAAAGCTAAAGGAATGCACAAGGCCACACAAATCAAACACTCTCCCGTGTGGCAGCTCAGCAGATGAAATTGGAGACTTGGCTTCCCAGGGAGTTGCAGAAGATGGATGAGAGGAAAGGTGACAGTGGAAGCTTTGTCCAGGATGGGTTTGAAAATCGGGGTCGCATTCTGCAAACAAAGGGCAGCCACTTGTTGAGAGGACTTCTAGGATGGAGTCAGGCTCACCTACTTTAGAGTTTCCTAGAAGTATAGAACTGTAGAGTTTCAAAGGATCCCCACAGGTCATCTGGTCAAACCCCCTGCAATGCAGGAATCACACCTCAAGAATTCCTGACAGACAGCTATCCAACCTATGTTTGAAAACCTACACGGAAGGACAGTCCACTGCCTCTCAAGGGAGTAAATTCCACAGTCAAACAATTCTTACCACTGTAAAGTTCTTCCTAATGTTTCATCAGACTCTTCTTTCTGGTTATTTGGGTCCTACCTTCTGTAGCAGCAGAAAACAAGTTTGCTCCATATTCCATGTGATAGCCCTTCCAATATTCACCCATCCATCTTCTCTTGTCCAGACTAAACATCCCCAGCTGCCTCAGCTGTTCCCCAGAAAGCTTGGCCTCCATGCCTTTCATCATCTTGGGGACCCTCCTCTGCACACCTTCCAGCTTATCAATATCCTTCTTAGTCTGGGATGCCCAGAACTGGACACAGGACTCCAGGTGGGGTCTGACCAAGGCAGAATTGAGTGATACTACTACATGCCTTGATCTGGACACACTACATGCAGCCTGGAATTGCATAAATGTTTTTTGCTATTGCATCACACTGTTGTCTCATGTTAATCTCATGGTCTGCACTCTGTGTGCCAGGGATACATGGTGGGGCCCCTCCCTAAAGTGTAAGGACTTTTCAGTTGTAGCACCCAACCTTTCCGCGTAGACGTATGGAATGCCCACTAAGTCTTACAAATGGATTGTTTTCTCTGAATCCTTAGCCCCTTTTTATAGAGGAATTTTCTCACTGCGTTGACTCATTTTTATTGTAATGGTGCCTCCTCTTTATTCCATTTGTATAATGTTTTGGATGTGACATGTTCATTTATTTTATTTTGTTTCAAGCATAGGGATGTATGTTCCAAAACTAATAAATAACATTATGATGGTATTTACAGCTCCAATTACATTCAACTCAATCAAGGGACTCACATTCCTTGCACAACACTGCTTAGAACTTAATTACAATCAAGGATCACATTTGATAAATGCATTATTTGCTTCGTAATTATTATGAATTTCTCCAGAGATATCACAGGATACCCTCTATTTCCAGTTTCCAAAACTTAACTAGACTGCACTCTACCCTACTCAAATTTGCCATCCACTCATGCAATTGTGACATTTGATACAACTACACTGGTGTTTCAGTGGTGTTAAACCTGCTTACTGAAATATATCCTCCCATTTTCCAGAAGTTTTCTTCGCTGGCGGAAGATCTGCATCCAAAGCAGCTGCTCTGCCAACGAGCTATAGCCCTTCCCCTACAAAATAAAAATGATAAGATTATTTTTTTAAAAGAAAAGAAATAAATAAATTTCTTTTTGTTATTTAAATTTGCCCAGAGACTCCCAAAAAGAGAATATGAATACCTGAATTCCTGTACATACACCACAACTTATAACAGGATACATGTCAGGGGCTGGTCTGGATTGGAAGTTTGGGGAATGCAATCGCAGGGAGATCAGCTCCTAACAGAAGAGGAGGGGGAATATTCACCCATCCACCCCAAGTCCAGCATTTTCAGAAACAGAGAGACAGGCAGACAGAGAAGCTGCACAGTTGAGAGAGGAGCTACCCAGCTATGAGATAGTAGCTAAGCAACCAGAAGGGAGGGAGCAGCTGAGTGACACATCAATCAAGAGTGGGGGGAACCCCCTCCCTCCCCCCAAACTCAGAGGTCCAAGCATGTCAGAGAACAAAGGAGACACAGGGGGGAGGTTCTTCCCATTGACGTGTTTCTTCCTGCGGAAGTGAGGAGGAGTCAGAGTAGGCAACTGATATCCTTGCGGAGGGTTGCCTGTTTGTGCTTGTAACATAATGCTGAAATAAAAGGACTATAAATCTACCATATGCTCGTTAATTCTTATCGGTGAGCTACCAGAAGAGAGATAGCTCTGTTAATGAGTTATGGCCCTTCCCCTACCAAAAAGATGGCAAGATTCCAGTCCCCATAGTTGAGAATAAAGGACTGATTCAAATAGGAAGCTGCCTTATACCGACTCGGACCATTGATCCAGCTAGCTCAGTATTGTCTACACTGACTGCTCTTCACAGTGTCAGAGAGGAAATACCTCACAGTTCTTCCTGAAAAAGCCAAGGCTTTAAATAATAAAATAATAATAATTAATAATAATAATAATAATAATAATTTTTTATTTATACCCCACTCATCTGGCTGGTTTCCCCAGCCACTGTGGGCAGCTCCCAACCGAATATTAAAAATGCAATGTAGCATTAAACATTAAAAACTTTCCTAAACAAGGCTGCCTTCAGATGTCTTTTAAAAGTAGGATAGTTGCTTATTTCCTTGACATCTAATGGGAAGACATTCCACAGGGCAGGTGCCGATACCGAGAAGGCCCTGTGCCTGGTTCCCTGTAACCTCACTTCTCGCAGTGAGGGAACCGCCAGAAGCTTGAACTTGGGACCTTCTGCATGCAAAGCTGGTGCTCTGCCGCTGAACTATGACCCTTCTTCATGTGAGGAGTTACCTGCGCTTTAATTGGTTAGACAAAACATTAGGAAGAACTTCCTAATGTTAAGATCTGTTCGACTCCCTTGAAGCTGGTGGACTCTCCTTCATTTTTAAGCAGATGTTGGATGGCCATCCATCAGAGGTTCTTTAGCTGTGATTCCTGCATTGAAGGGGGTTGGACTAGATGACCCTTGGGGTCCCTTCCAGCTCTACAATTCTATGATTCTATGGTTTATGGGGAACTAAAGAATTCCCAGGTAACTCTAGCTTTTTTGTTTATTTGTTTATTTGACATTTGAGGAAAAATCTTTCCACACTGCTTTCTTCAAAAGTAAAAGAGACTTAGCTTCTTCTTCTTTTTCAAGGAAATTGACACCCTGTCGGACACATGGTTGACAAGTTTCTCACCTTCCTGTGCTTACAGGACACATCTGCCAAGGGTGGCTTTTTTAGGAAGTGTTGGGATTTGGCATGGTTGCAGAGTGGTGATTTGGAAGGAAGTTTATGAACCTTCGGCCACCCAGAAACTTAGGTAAGAGCTACACAAACTCTTCATACCATCCATGAGAATGTCAGCCCAGATGCCTCACTTTGATAATTTTCCAATGCAGTGCCTTTTCTTATTAACTAATGGAAAATAATAAGGAAAAAAGAGGAGGTTGGGGGGTTGCACAGCCTTTGTGAACACACAAAGCAGTCCTCTTCACGTGTTTGCAAAGTGTGCTATCCCACCTTCTGAATTCATGGGAGGCTTTTAAACAGAGGTTGGATGGCCATCTGCCATGGATTATTTAGTTATGTTTCTTTCATTGCACAGGGTTGGGCTAGATGGCCCTAGGGGTCCTATCCAGTGCTACAATTCTAGGATCCTATGAATTATCTTTTTGCTTTTCTTACATTAGTATCCCACCTTTCTTCCATGACAGAATTCAAACTTAGGGTCCTATCACAATTCACGTTTCCGAGCACAATTCAAAGTGTTGGTGCTGACCTTTAAAGCCCTAAACGGCCTCGGTCCAGTATATCTGAAGGAGAGTCTCCACCCCATTATTCTACCTGGACACTGAGGTCCAGCACCGAGGGCCTTCTGGCAGTTCCCTCACTGCGAGAAGCCAAGTTAGAGGGAATCAGGCAGAAGGCCTACTCGGTATTGGTGCCCGCCCTGTGGAACGCCCTCCAACCAGATGTCAAAGAGAATAACAACTACCAGACTTTTAGAAGACATCTGAAGGCAGCCCTGTTCAGGGAAGCTTTTAATGTTTGATGCATTACTGTATTTTAATATTTTGTTGGAAGCTGCCCAGAGTGGCTGGGGAAACCCAGCCAGATGGGCAGGGTATAAATAAATTATTATTATTATTATTATTATTATTATTATTATTATTATTACAGTGGTGCCCCGCAAGACGAATGCCTCGCAAGACGGAAAACCCGCTAGACGAAAGGGTTTTCCGTTTTTGAGTTGCTTCGCAGGATGAATTTCCCTATGGGCTTGCTTCGCAAGACGAAAATGTCTTGCGAGTCTTGAGATTTTTTTTTCGCTCCCCCCCCTTTTTCTAAGCCGCTAAGCCGCTAATAGCCTTTTAGCAGCTAAGCCGCTAAGCCTTTCATAGCCGCTAAACCGCTAATACCGCTAAGCCGCTAATAGGGTTGCTTTGCAAGACGAAAAAACCGCTAGACGAAGAGACTCGCGGAACGGATTAATTTCGTCTTGCGAGGCACCACTGTATTATTATTATTATTATTATCATCATCCTGTGTCGGAAGGTAAACATTGATGATGACATATGAAGCCATTTACATCACATCTACTTGGGCTTGTAGGCCCTCAGGCCTCCTGTATCTGTTCTTTCGGCTAAGGCTGATGTTGCTGAGGAATTATATTTGACCGAGCAGCTATAGCTTGGTGGCAGAGCACATGCCTTGCATGCAGAAGGCCAGGGAAGGGTCCTCCCTTCTCTGAAATCCCAAAGAGCTTCTGCCAGCCAGTGAGCTACATGAACCAATGGACCAATTCCTTTTGAGGCAGTTCCTTACATCATTATTTAAATCAGTCCTTTATTCAGAACCATGGAGGCTAGACTCTTGTCTTATTTTCAGAGGAAGGGCTGTAGTGCTGTAGGAGAATTGCTGCCCTGCTTGGAGAAGATCACAGTACAATCCCCAGCATCTCCAGGTAGAGCTGCTGTCCATCAGCGTAGACAATATTGAGTTGGGTGGACCAATGGCTTGACTCTTTAAAGCCAGGGTGGCTTAATGGTTAGTGTGTTGGACCAGGACCTGACAGAGTAGTCACTGCTTCTCAGCCTAATTTACCTCATGGGGTTCTTGTGAGGATAAAAATGAGGAGTAGAGAACCATGGACACCACCTTGAGCTCCTTGGAGGAAAAGGTGAAGATAAATGTAACAAGTAAAGCAATAAGGTCTTGTTTTCACTAACCTGCTAGCGTCAAATGCCATATCAAGAGAACTGAACGCCTAACAGCAGGTGAAAGAGGGGCCCAAGGGAGAGACACTGCTGGCCAAAGTCAGCAGCACTAAACTAGATATGCTAATAGCCTGACTCGTGATAAGGCAGCTTCCTGTATTTCTAAGTGCAGATGGAAGGGGTTGTGGAGATTCACCTCATTGGACCGCTGATATCAATGTGCATGCTTAAAACAGGATTGGTGGAATATTCTTCTTCTCAGTGTCAACTGGCAAATGGATTGCTATTGTTGCTTTGTTTTAGCAATCACTGCCACTATTCGTATCTGTTTTTCTTCTTCTTCCCTATTGCAATCGCAAAGGAAAATTAAAGAAATAAAAACATGGGAGTAGTGCCAAAGTGGGGAAAGGACGGCAGGATTTCCCTTTACCATTTCAAGCTTTTTGGAGACTCTTGAGTCTCCCCACAAAACGAGGCATCCCATTAGGCTCTGCCCACTCTTGAGAGATTTTATTGGGACAGCCCAGGTCTTGGCTCTGCTTTCCTTCTCCAATGACACTCCTCCTAAAAGCCACAGATGCTTATTGCGTTCCATCCCATCTCACAAGCTGTGATGATTAAATCTCTCCGGCCTGTTGAGCTTTAAAACAGCCATAAAAGGGCCATCACAGCAACCGCCCCCACATCCGTTCCCTCTTACATTTGGAGTGAGGGCAGCAAGGAGGTCATGGGACCGGCCCTTGCAATAGCCAGGGGCCACCTGCATCCCTGCTTCCTACCTGTTTGCAGGGTGAAAAATTGGGGAATAAAAGAGGGACGCACTTGTTGACACCCACACCATTACAGCAGGCTATGCCGGTTGACTCTACAGCAGCCAGCTATGGGTTAGTTTTAAAAGCTTAGGGTGGTGATTAACCAAAAGAGCATGCTCAGCCAAGCAGAATATCCATGCTAGGGGGAATTAGGAAAGGAATTGAAAATAAAACTGCTGATATCATAATGCCGTTATCCCGGTATGTGGTGCAACACATTTGGGATAATACAGTGGTACCTCGGGTTAAGAACTTAATTCGTTCCAGAGGTCTGTTCTTAACCTGAAACTGTTCTTAACCTGAAGCACCACTTTAGCTAATGGGGCCTCCTGCCGCCGTTGCGCCGCTACTCACAATTTCTGTTCTCATTCTGAAGCAAAGTTCTTAACCCGAGGTACTATTTCTGGGTTAGCGGAGTCTGTAACCTGAAGTGTATGTAACCTGAAGCATATGTAACCCGAGGTACCATTGTACTGTGTACAAGGTACTGTAAGTTATTGTCACTTAACTTTGTAAAGCATATTGCGGAGTTGGAAAAGGTTCAGAAAAGGACAACCAAATTGATCAAAGGGATGGAGCAACATTTCTATGAAGCAACAGACATATACAGATAGATATACTGTAGATAGCTGATAGATGATAGATGATAGATAGATAGATAGATAGATAGATAGATAGATGATAGAGATAGATGATAGATAGATAGATAGATAGATAGATAGATAGATAGATAGATGATAGATAGATAGATAGATAGATGATAGATGATAGATAGATAGATAGATAGATAGATAGATAGACAGATGATAGATAGATAGATAGATAGATGATAGATAGATAGATAGATAGATAGATAGATAGATAGATAGATGATAGATAGATAGATAGATAGATAGATAGATAGATAGATAGATGATATAGATAGATAGATAGATAGATAGATAGATAGATAGATGATAGATAGAAAGATATATATAGAGAGAGATGATAGATAGATAGATAGATAGATAGATAGATAGATAGATAGATATAGATAGATAGATAGATAGATATAGAGAGAGAGAGATGATAGATAGATGATAGATAGATAGATAGATGATAGATAGATAGATGATAGATGATAGATAGATAGATAGATAGATAGATAGATAGATAGATGATAGATAGATAGATAGATAGATAGATAGATGATAGATAGATAGATAGATAGATAGATAGATAGATAGATAGATATAGATAGATAGATAGATAGATAGATAGATAGATAGATAGATAGATAGATGATAGATAGATAGATAGATGATAGATAGATAGATGATAGATAGATATAGATGAGAGAGAGATGATAATGATGATGATAATGGGCAGCATACAAATAAACAACAACAACACCCCCTCCCACAAACACATTTGAAGGGCCCTAGAGTATTTCATCAGCCAAAGGTACTTAAAGATATGCAATGAAGACGCCAGGCGAGCATTCCTCGAAAGAGCATTACACAAATGGAGAGTCACCACAGAAAAGGCCCATTCTCATGAAGAAGGGCCTCAGATGATGATTGCAGGGTCTGGGTCAGTTCATATGGGAAGAGGCAGTCCTTGAGTTACTGTGGTCCTGGGCTGTTTAAGGCTTTATGGGTCAACACCAGCACTTTGAATAGAGCCCAGAAACTAATGGGCAGCTGGCACAGGCAGGCGAGGATCAGTGTAATATGCTCAAACCATTTTGTCCTGGTGAGCATCCCAGCTGCTGAATTTTCTGAACCATCTTCAGAGCCTAGTAAGCAAGTCTGAGACCTTAAAAGCACTTTCTGTGATGGGAAACCCCTGTGCAAAAAGTGCTTTTAAGCTCTTTCCCTTCCAAATGTTTCACTTGTGAGATTTCAACCACGGGCCGCCAACCACGTAAAGCTGAACTCCTGCAAGTTAAATGTGTAAGTTGCTAGACCACTGTGGTGTACAAGAACACTCTCCCCTCCTGCAGTTCCCAGAAACTGGCATTCAGAGGCATTATACTTCTGGCAATGGAGGTAAATCATAGGCATTGTGACTAGTAGCCATTTATAGCCTTAGGTACACGGTAAAGGGACCCCTGACCATTAGGTCCAGTTGTGGCCAACTCTGGGGTTGCAGCACTCATCTCGCTTTATTGGCCGAGGGAGCCGGCGTACAGCTTCCAGGTCATGTGGCCAGAATGACTAAGCCAGTTCTGGCGAACCAGAGCAGTGCACGGAAACGCCGTTTACCTTCCCGCTGAAGCAGTACCCATTTATCTACTTGCACTTTGACGTGCTTTTGAACTGCTAGGTTGGCAGGAGCAGGGACCAAGCAATGGGAGCTCACCCCGTCACGGGGATTCAAACTGCTGACCTTCTGATCAACAAGTCCTAGACTCTGTGGTTTAACCCACAGCACCACCCGTGTCCCTTTTATTTATAGCCTTAATCTCCATGAATTTGTCTAATCCTCTTTTGAAACAATTCAGGTTGTTGGCCGTCATTGCCTCCTGCAGGAATGAGTTCCTGCAGTTCACGTGTTGCATGAAGAAGGACTTTAATTTTATCTGTCCTGAACCTTCCAACACCCTTCACTGGGTGTAGGCGAGTTCTGGTGTTATGAGACAGGGAGAAACAAAAAATTATTTCCCCAGAGACTTCTCAGACCCTACAATCAGCAGTTGAGGCGTTAGTGGCAGTAGTGCCACAAAGGGCTACTCAGTTAGCATTGGCCCATGACAGGGACTCTACCATGGCAATTCTCCATTTGTGGAATGCCCTACCTGGCAAGATTATCCATCTCCATCATTATTACTTTCCAGGATGAATTTGAAAGCAACCCTGAAATCTCTGGTTGAGAGAATGTTTCCAACTGGTTAGAGAATGCTTTTTAAAAATGAATATATATATTTGATGTGTTTGCCACCATGGGCTCCATTGGAAGGAAGGGCCGGATAAAAAATTAAAATAACAACAACAGCCAGATTTGGAGGACAACAGTTTGTGGAAGGTTGGGTTAATTGAATTTAATGCGATTCTAAATTTTTGATGCCTTAAGATCTTTGGCATTTGCATTTTGTGACTTGCTGTTGGATTGATATCGCAGTTATTTATTATTTACTTTGTTCATAATATTTGCTTACCATGCAAAATCCATAAGCAGTTTGCTTTTTTATGTGATTATTGGGAGGGGTAAGTAAAATGTGTGATGTGACATGATCGTGTTCAAAGATTCCTTGCCCTGATCTGCCTCATGGGCTTCACAAATTCAGAATGCAACAATATCCTCTTGCCCGGCTCAATGCTACAGAGGACCAATGCAGTGAAGGGGGGGGTCTTCTTGCAGTGGCAACTCCCCTTCCCATCAGCTATAATGTGTAATTTCGCCATGAGCAAGCTCTACATTTCTTTAAAGGTTGTCTTGCATCTTTTCCCATCTCCATTTTGTCATGTATACTATCCTATTTTGCTTCACCCAAGAAGCCAGCAGTCTACTTAATGATGCACCTAATCACTGCTAATTGTGAAAGTGCCATTCCAGGTTCAGGACACAATAAAGCAATCTCATTTCTTAATGTGTCTTTTGCAATACCCAGGTGTGTAGAGCATATTTATTTATTTATTTTGGTGGGGGAATAAGCCAATGAGTGTATACTTCCCAATCTCCCTTCCTTCAAGGCAGAAGCTCCATGGTGAGCCAGACTTCACCCTTCCATTTAGATTGATTAATTGACCTTTAAAAATGTACCCAGAAAATAAATTGCTCAATAAAATAAATTATCCAGTGCTTTGTAGCTCTTGAAATCCACTTTTACTTGAGAAGGGGCTAATGAAGCATGGAAGGCATTGAAGAAATGACTAATGAAGGGAATGAACCTAATAAAGAATAATTGATTAGTCATTTGGAAAAAGCTCACAGGCTGTGCAACGAATTGGGCCTCCCGCAGAAAAATAAACAGAGGCACCTTTGCTACTGTATGATCCTTGAGTGGCATGAAACCAAATCTTATTTATCCATCTACCTATCCAGTTTTGGCCAGCAGGAGTTCCTAACTTTAATCTGTGGGCCTGCACACATACAAGTGAGAGGTCACAGACATTGGTCAGGTAGGGAAACAAAATAAAAAAAATCCTTCCAGTAGCACCTTAGAGACCAACTAAATTTGTTATTGGTATGAGCTTTCGTGTGCATGCACACTTCTTCAGATACACTGAAACATGAGAGCCAGTGTGGTGTAGTGGTTGAGAGCGGTAGTCTTGTAATCTGGGGAACTGGGTTCGCGTCTCCGCTCCTCCACATGCAGCTGCTGGGTGACCTTGGGCCAGTCACACTTCCTTGAAGTCTCTCAGCCCCACTCACCACACAGAGTGTTTGTTGTGGGGAAGGAAGGGAAAGGAGAATGTTAGCCGCTTTGAGACTCCTTAAAGGGAGTGAAAGGTGGGATATCAAATCCAAACTCTTCTTCTTTATAAATAAATAAATAAATAAAGATACACTGAAACAGAAGTCACCAGACCCTGATACATAGTGAGAGGGTGGGATGGGGTATTACTCAGAAGGGTGGTGGGAATGGGTGATTGGCTGATAGGTGTGGTAAACCTGTTGACGATTGTTAATGACTGCAAAGCCACTTCCGGCCTGCCCAGGAGGTGGGGTTGCGGGCTTCACGCCCACCCCCCACGTGAGCGGGGGCTGGTTTCAGCCCCCGCGAGAGCAGGGGGTCTGCCCTATTTAGGGCCAGCACGGAGGGGGCTCGCCCTCTTTTCGCCGGCTAGCCCCCACGTTTTCCCACCTTCCCTCCCTTTAGGTGGGCTTTATGTAGGTCTCTGACTTTGCTATGGACTTCGGTCTGTCACCACATGGGGCATGGTAGGAATTTTTCCCAATTGGCAATTTACAGCCATTTGGTTTTTCGCCTACCCCGTAGCAACTCGTCACAACTCTTCGGCATTGGCGGTAGGCATTGGTAAGAAGGGGTTAAGAGGATGGGGGGGGGAGGAACGCCATCACCTCCCCCCAGTGAGCGAAGGGTGGTCCGTTAAAGGACTCCGGGGGGCGTGGCCCTGTCCGAAGCCTATGGAAGTGTGGGCCAAAGGCACGCCCCTGAGCGGTGACCCGGGGGAGCTCCTAGTCGACGTGCCTTGGCAGGAGACTCCCCCGATATAGTGTTAACCCTTCCCTTGTCTCCAGCAAATGGGCTGGAGCCGGATAGTCGTTAGGACCAATGCCTAAGCCAATGCCTCTCATTCCTGAATTCAATAAAGTTGTGGCCTAATTCGCCCATTTAACCTTAAGCTATGGTGTCTCGTGTCTTTATTTATCCTGGTGGGGGGCGGGAACTCGCCACGCAATTGGTCTTATAGGAAAAAGCAAGGGGTGAGATGGCTAAAAATAGCTTTATCATGTATAATGAGATAAGAATCCAATGTCTCTATTCAGACCAGGTCTCTCCATGGTTTTAAGTTTGGTAATAAGTTGCAATTCAGCAACTTCTCTTTCCAGTCTATTTCAGAAATTCTTTTGTAATAAAAAAGCTACTTTGAGATCTTGTACAGAATGTCCTGGGAGATTAAAGTGCTCTCCTACTGGTTTCTCTGTCTTGTGATTCCTAATGTCAGATTTATGTCCATTTATCCTTTGGCATAGGGACGCGGGTGGCGCTGTGGGTAAAACCTCAGTGCCTAGGACTTGCCGATCGCATGGTCGGCAGTTCGAATCCCCGCGGCGGGGTGAGCTCCCGTCGTTCGGTCCCAGCTCCTGCCCACCTAGCAGTTCGAAAGCACCCTTAAAAGTGCAAATAGATAAATAGGTACTGCTTTATAGCAGGAAGGTAAATGGCGTTCCGTGTGCTGCGCTGGTGCAGGCTCGCCAGAGCAGCTTCGTCACGCTGGCCACGTGACCCGGAAGTGTCTTCGGACAGCGCAGGCTCCCGGCCTCTAGAGTGAGATGAGCGCACAACCCTAGAGTCTGTCAAGAATGGCCCGTACGAGCAGGGGTACCTTTACCTTTACCTATCCTTTGGCATAGGGTTTGTCCTGTTCGTCCAATATAGAGAGCTGAAGGGCACTGTTGGCATTTGATGGCATACACAATGTTAGAAGATGAGCAATTAAATAGTCCTGAGATGGTATGTTTGATGTTGATGAGGCCAGTAATGATGTTGTCTGGCTACCTACCTGTAACTATGTCATGTAGGGAGTCAGCCAGGTACAAGATCTACAGCACTATGGACAGCTCCCACCCAGTACAGAACCATGGACAGCTCCCAGTTTAGACAACTAGCTCCAATTAGCATTTCACACAAATGGCCTCTGGAAAATCTGCAGTAGGGGCTACATAAAGAGGCTGTTCTTATTCTGTCTGAAACAGAGGTCAGCAGAGTAGAACAGCAAATGGCAGGGAATGGCCCTTGAGAGTCCATCCAGCCCAGGTTGATTTAGGTATGTACAGCTTGTTGTTGTTGTTTAGTCGTTTAGTCGTGTCCGACTCTTTGTGACCCCATGGACCAGAGCACACCAGGCACTCCTGTCGTCCACTGCTTCCCGCAGTTTGGTCAAACTCATGCTGGTAGCTTCGAGAACACTGTCCAACCATCTCGTCCTCTGTCGTCCCCTTCTCCTTGTGCCCTCCATCTTTCCCAACATCAGGGTCTTTTCCAGGGAGTCTTCTCTTCTAATGAGGTGGCCAAAGTATTGGAGCCTCAGCTTCAGGATCTGTCCTTCCAGCGAGCACTCAGGGCTGATTTCCTTAAGAATGGAGAGGTGGGATCTTCTTGCAGTCCATGGGACTCTCAAGAGCCTCCTCCAGCACCATAATTCAAAAGCATCAATTCTTCAGTGATCAGCCTTCTTTATGGTCCAGCTCTCACTTCCATACATCACTACTGGGAAAACCACGGCTTTAACTATACGGACCCTTGTTGGCAAGGTGATGTCTCTGCTTTTTAAGATGCTGTTTAAGATGTACAGTTAGGAAGCAGCATTCACAACAACTTGATCCGGTGTCTAGGATGACAGAGAAATGCCATCAGGACCACAACAGACAGAGCACTAAGACTCTGGTCTGCTGACTTAGGGCTTATTCACACTTATCTTTTGCCCCTCACTTTCCAGGCATAGATTCGAGCTTTAAAGCTCCATGACTGAGCATTCTCTTTTCCTTTGCCCTGGCGCTTTCCCTACAAAATCCCACTCTTTAAGAGGTTTCCATCTTCCCATTCTTTGGTTTCTGAGGAAGCCGTCTGAAACTCAGAGCAGGGCAGGAGCTGGGCCAATTACAAGAGCAATTTGTCATGAAAAATTATTCTCCAGAGCAACATCAAGCAGTCCTTCTTCCACGGCTCAGATACTTTTTGAAAGCAATCCTCGTTCAAGGTTCTCAGGAGAACTTTTGCCTTTGCATGAAGCTTGTCCTGTGGGATCCTGCAGTGATGCATGAGGTCACCACTGAGAGGAAGTGGCAGGCAGTGCAATCCACGTCAGACTGGGCCTTTACTGTCACCACAGATGATGGTTTAACTAGCCACAATACAGAGGCATGTCAGAGAACAGGGCTCCCCTCTTCCACTTTCATCTCATTATACTCCGAGGACCGGGATTGTAGAAGACAGATGCTCCACCATCTCCTACTAGCTTGCAAAGGATGCAGATCTTCCTCTTGATTTTCTTCTTTCTGTCTCAGAGCTTGCTCTGAAGTTTATTTATTACCTAATAAATTTGTATATTGTATATTTTTCCTCATCACATACATTCAAAAGGCTGTGAATTTTATTTTATTTATTGTATTTCTATCCCACCTTTTTCTCCAAAGAACTCAAGGTGGCATACATGGTTCTCCTCTTCTTCATTTAATCCCCACAACAACCCTATGAGAGATAGGCAGTGACTGGCCCAAAGTCACATCACACCCAGTGAGCTTGATGGCTAAGTGGAGACATTAGAACCCTGGTCTCCCTGATCCTAGTCCTTGTTTAATCCCAACAACCCCATAAGGTAGGTTAAGCTGAGAGGCAGTGACTGGCCTAAGATCACCCAGGAAATTTTATGAGCTGAGTGGGGATTCAAACCCTGGTTTCCTGGGTCCTAGTCCAATACTCTAACCACTACACAAGACTTGCACCTTAAAATGAGATTGAGTTGAAGCCAGTAGTGTTGAGTAGTACCTAAGAATTCAGGGCATCATCCCATGACACATGTATGCATATGTTAATTTATAGACAGAGAGATGATTCTGGGAGATAAAGGTGGTGGGTTGGGTGGAGTCCCACCATCACTGAATTGAATAGTGTAGCCAACTGGGCTTTAAGCAACTTTTAAAGAAAGGAATAGCTTACAGAAGGAGAGCAAGGGGCAAGGGATGTGCGGTGTGAAGCAAAAGACTTGGTCACCCCCTGGTTGAGGCTGCCATATAAATAAATACCACATTAGCTCAATCACGTGAAAGGCCATAAAGAGGACACGTTCCCTTTCTACAAGACTCTCCATGGCAGCTGGAGAGTTAGCCTGGGGTAACAGAGAGGGTGCTGAGCAGGAACCCAGGAAACGGGGTTCACAATCCCATTCAACTGCTAGGTGGTCATGCACACATCACTACTAGTGTTTTCTCTAGGCCTTATAATAGACACAGTCATGGAAGAGAAGGCTCCCATAGAGCTGTAGAGCTGGAAGGGACTAAAAGCGTCATCTAGTCCAACTCCCTTCTCCAAAATATATACATCATCAACATTTAAGCTAATCTTGCAAGTGTACAACTGCAACATTTTGCAGATTGCTATGCTCCATCTCCACTGCTGGAGACACTATGCCTCTGCTGGCAAACACAAAGAAGTGGAGTTGTTGTCAAGCCCTGTTTGTTAGATTCCTGTTGGGGCATCTGGTTGGCTGCTGTAAGAACAGGATGCTAAGCTAGATGGGTCTTTGGACTGATCTAGCTGCAGGGCTCTTCTTATGTTGATGTGCTAAATAGTAGTGAAGTCTGAGACTGAAGACCAGGAGTGGGAAAACTTACACTGGGAGAGCAAAGAGGAAGGCAGAGTCAAACAGCATGATCTCTGGATGAGCCGTGCCTAAAACTAATATCTTAAAACCTTTATTTTCCTATGCTGGAGGCTTCCGTTTTCCTCCCTTGCTTCGAAAGATCTGTGCACTGCAAGTCAGCCAAATGTCCACATCTTGTGCACCTATTCAATTTCCGTTACAAAAAAGCAAAAAGAAAGTTCAATTTTTTAATAATAATAAAAAAGTACACCGAGGCAGAACAAAGTGACCTGATTTCAAATTCTGCCTGTGCAATAGACTGTAAGGGTTGCAAGAGGCCTGCTTGACATCTACAAGATGTTTACTACAGTGGTACCTCAGGTTAAGAACTTAATTCGTTCCAGAGGTCCGTTCTTAACCTGAAACTGTTCTTAACCTGAAGCACCACTTTAGCTAATGGGGCCTCCTGCTGCCTCCGCACCACCGCTGCACAATTTCTGTTCTCATCCTGAAGCAAAGTTCTTAACCCAAGGTACTATTTCTGGGTTAGCGGAGTCTGTAACCTGAAGCGTCTGTAACCTGAAGCGTCTGTAACCCGAGGTACCACTGTGTAAAGCTGCAGTATTAGATGATGACGTACAAAAGAACATAAGAGTATGCTGGATCAGGTCAGTGGCCTGTCTAGTCCAGCACCCTGTTCTCATGGTGGAAAGGTGGAGAGGAGGAGAGCAGTCTAGCAGGGTCTTCTCACTAGGGCAGAGGCAGCAACCTTTCTTTCAGCCTGAGGGCCACATTCCCTTGTTGCTCACCTTCTGGGGGGTGCATGCCAGTGATGGGCGGGGCCAGAGTCAAAAGTGGGAGGAGCATTGGGTGGGATTCTTCTCTTTGTGCGGTTGGCCACATTTCAGCGATGTAAAAGTGAGACTTTCAGAGAGACACATCCTCCTCTTCCTCCATCCAGACCTGCTCACAGTTCAGGGACACATCCCAGATAGACAAAAGCTCTTGGGGAGCATGCATAGCAAAGTCATTGAGGGGTGCGACTTGGGAAGAGTCCCAAGGGCCAGACAAAGGCTTTTGGAGAGTTTCCCACCCCTGCGCTAGGAGAACCAACTCCCTAAAGGAGTGTGCATGCACACGAAAGCTTATACCCAGAACAAACGTCGTTGGTCTCTAAGGTGCTACTCTTTTGTTGACGATGAGGGCTACTCCATTTCTTTTACGGGATTCTTACCCACAGTTGTAGATAAGATGGTCATCCGAATTGAATTCACCCATTCCCGTCCATTTTAGTTCACTGATGCCCAGGATGTCAATATTTATTCTTGCCATCTCATTTTTTTACCACATCCAATTTACCAAGGTTCATGGTTCTTACATTCAGGGTTCCTATGCAATATTTTTCTTTACAGCATTGGACTTTCCTTTCGCTTCCAGGCATATCCGCAAATGAGCGTCCTTTTGGCTTTGGCCCAGCCGCTTCATCAGCTCTGAATCTACTTGTACTTGTCCTCCGCTCTTCCTCAGTAGCATGTTGGACGCCTTCCGACCTGAGGGGCTCATCTTCCAGCATCCATGGAGTTTTCTTGGCAGGGATACTGGAGTGGCTTGCCGGTTCCTGCTCCAGGTGGATCACATTTGGTCAAACTCTCCACTACGACTTGGCTCCAATACTTTGGCCACCTCATGAGAAGAGAAGACTCCCTGGAAAAGACCCTGATGTTGGGAAAGATGGAGGACGAAGGAGAAGGGGACAACAGAGGACGAGATGGTTGGACAGTGTTCTCCAAGTGATCAGCATGAGTTTGATCAAACTGCAGGAGGCAGTGGAAGACAGGAGTGCCTGGCGTGCTCTGGTCCATGGGGTCATGAAGAGTCGAACACGACTAAAAGACTAAACAGCAACAAGGTGCTACTGGACAATTTTTTTATTTATTTATTTACTTCCCTAAATCTGGTTTGGGATTTCCTACAGGGTTGAGAAAGATGGCCTCCAGGGACCCTTCCAACATTGTGATTCTTCAGTTCCTAAGCTGCTCACCTGGAGCACAAAGGGAGACAGAAGTCTGAGAGCTGATCCCATGCCTGACTTGCATGTCTGGCGGCCCATGAATAAAGCATCTTTCAAAGCAGGGTTCATAGCCCAGCAGATGAAGCTAATATGCTGCTGTTAAAATGTTACATCTGTCCCCCGCACCCAGAACATTTCATCCGCTAAGCAAATTGTTGTTATTTTGAGGCAGCGAATCCCTAACGCAAGCGGGCTGTTTGGAATTGCTGTTCTTCCTTTAATCTGCTGTTTACAAGAGCCTGGCAAATTAAAATCGGGGAAAGAAATCCCCTCTCCCATCTCGCCTGCTCGTGCATCCGCCTCCTCAGGGCAGGAACGCTTTGGTGCTCTTCCTTCTTTCAGCATCCGTAAAACCCTTTATTGTGCTGAAAAATTATTCCTTAATTTTTATGGGGCTTCTCGGTAAGGCTGTTGACGCTGATGGATCGTTCTATATGCCTGCCTCTCCTCGGAGTTTGCTGTGAGTGGATATTGCTCCCTGGGTGGCAAAGAGAGGTAGGAAAAAAATGTCCGCATTTAATTTATGGCTTGCAATAACCAGGGTTTTATCAACATCCCACCAACAAATTATTCTTATTGTCAGCTTCCTGTTGCCTGGAGCTGTGATGATGACAATAAAGTCATGTTTTCACAAAATATGCATCCTCAGATCAGCTGGACTGCTGACTGGCTGCAGACAGAGGTGAATCCAGTGGTATTTGGCCTTGCTGAGAAATGGATAACAGAAGGAAGCGGTTTTCTAGGGGAAGTCACTGAGCATAAGCAGAGCCTGCTGGATCCAACCAATAACCCATTTAGTCCTGCATACAGTCCTCCCAGTGGCCAGCTAGATATGCCCCCATCTGGGAAACCCTCGAGCAAGACGTGAGTACAAGAACACTCTCCCCTTCTGTGGCTTCCAGCAACTGGTATTCAGAAGCACTACTGCCTCCGACCATGGATAGGCAGGGCATAGCAATCACAGCCTCCAAGAATTTGCCCTGTCCTCTTTTAAAGCCATCCAAGTTCCAAGCCATCACTGCTTCCTATGGGAGGGAGTTTGACAGTTTAACTAAGCACTGCATGAAGCGTACCCTCCAAATGTCCCTATTTTCCAGGGACAGTCCCAGAATTACAAAAGACATCCCGGCTTCTGATTGAACTCTGGAATGTCCCCGTTTCCACTGCCAGTGCCAGCCCTGCCAAGCTCAGAGAGAAGGATGAACCAGAGTTTCTTCTCTGAGTGATTGCAGAGGGGGCAGTGGGGGCTGAGAGGTCCTGTTGCCTCTCCAGGGCCTCTCCATGGGTGCCACTGCCAACCTTCTCCCTTGGACAGCTCGTTGATCTACCCACACTTAGTTGTTATTTCTGAGAAGCTTAGAAAATAACAGGATACATTCATACGAATTCTTCAAACTTACACGACCCCTTAAAAATTAGCTGATGAAGGCGAATACATCAAAACAGGGCTCTGTCCTGGTTTCTGATCCATAATTGACTTCTGCTCAACGATTGAAACTAAGATCTTCACGTCAAATCTTACCATGGACTAACATGAACTTATCTCTACTCATAAACTCTTATCTTTAATACTGTAACGAATTATTATACATATCCTTATGAGTTTGAGTTTGTAAACACTATTTGAGTTTGTAATCCTTGTCAGAATACATACTTTTGAATGGATTAGTTTTTGTTACAATTGCCATTGAGGCCCAGCCTCATATGAGAGGCAGGGAGAGGGCAAGACCACTTTTGGTGGAGGGAAAGGGGGAGTGGAGCAGAGGGCAAGGAGTCTTGAGTTTTGAAGGGAAAAAACGCTTTGCGTTTCTGCATCTGATCTTGCCCCCTTGTGTGTTTTTCTTTTTGTCAAACTACCAAAGAATAAAATAAAATTGGGATGTAGGGGTTTTCTCAGAACAGTGGAGGGTGTGTGTACTGTGACCCATTGGTGTACAGTGGTACCTCAGGTTACAGACGCTTCAGGTTACAGACTCCGCTAACCCAGAAATATTACCTCGGGTTAAGAACTTTGCTTCAGGATGAGAACAGAAATTGTGCTCTGGCGGTGCAGCGGCAGCAGGAGGCCCCATTAGCTAAAGTGGTACCTCAGGTTAAGAACAGTTTCAGGTTAAGAACGGACCTCTAGAACAAATTAAGTTCTTAACCTGAGGTACCACTGTAGTGGGGGTATAAATGGTCTACAGGGGAGGACAACAAATGGAGGAGTCGAGGAGGGTCATTTGAAGGGAGAAGTGAAATGTCCCTATTTTAATCTGAGGGATGTTGGAGGGTGTGCATGAAGAAGGACTTGTTTTTTATCTGTCCCAAATCTCTCAACATTCATTGGATGTTCACGAGTTCTAGTTTTATGAGACAGGAAGAAAAACTTTTCTCTCTTCGCTTTACCCGTGCCTATGTGTGGCATTTTATAAACGTCAATCATGTCTCCCCTTAGTTGCCTTTTCTCTAAACTAAAAAAAAATCCCCAACACAGCAACCTTTATTCATAGGGGAGCCACTCCACCCACTTGATCATTATGATCCTTTTCCAACAATTTTTTTTAAAATTTATTTAATCACTTTTTCAATACAAACAACAACCACAAAAAACACATACAACAAAAACCACAATAACACTAATAACACAATTTAACATTTCAGATTTGAGTACTGGTATACCTATGACGACACCTTTTTAACAATATTTCCCCACCTCTCATCCCCCTACTTCCCACCACTGTCCGCCTTATCGCTTACATATTCCTTCCAGATTTCTTCAGATTTATCCATTCTTAATTTGCATCGACATGTGGTCAGTCTGTCCATATTGTCAATCCATGTGCTCAATGGAATCTTTTTGTGGCTCTTCCGATTCATCAGAACAAGTTTTTTTGCTTCTAATATGGCATGGTAGATCCATTCTTTTTTTACCCCTTGTAATCTCTCCTTTTTGAGGTGCATGGAACAGAACTGTAGGCAGTATTGCAAACTGCATGGTTTCTGCCATGCAAGGAGGTTTTGTACAGTGGTGAGCAAGTCAACTGAGTTATGGCCTACAGGGACTCTTCACGCAGGACACTTGCTGCACCTAGGCTTAGGAACGGGAAGAGATTCAATTTGGCTTGCATTTAAAGGAGATCTTACCTGATTTGCACTTCCTGAAACAATACGAAAACTGAAACGCAGTCATCCTTCGAGATTTTCACTTCTCCAGATTTTGCAGTGCAGTTCTCCAGCTAAGTGATGTATACAAAAATTGCCTATACTGTGGCAAAGTGTGCATAGAATACATATATAACTGAAAGTAACAGGCAAAAAAAAAATGCATCATGTTTGGGAAAATTGCTCTGCCAAAATATGTATATGTATATGGGAAATTTCCATATTAGGAGAAATTTGCACTAAAATGTTGGTTTAATTTTCATGATGACTTTAAAAAAAAACCTGAACTTTGGGCTAGAAAAATGAGAAATTGAAAGATCCCAACGTTGACAGATTCACCTATCCCTACCAAGGTTAGATCTGTCACAAAGAATATTGGAGAAATTCAAACCTCATAATAGCTATTTTCTGCCATTGCCCTATTCTGTGGAATGACCCTCCCTCTGCCTTGTGTGAAGCATCATCTATTCGTTCCTTCAGATGTCTTGTGAAGAAGTATCTATTTTGCCCAGGCTGTCCCTGAACCATAAAATTGGACCCTGTTCCTTCTGAATTTCTTTTTTTTAAAAAAAGGATGATTTAAAAAAATATTCAAAGATGGTTTGGGTGTTTGGAATTGGTCTCTAAGGTGCTACGGGACAATTTTTTATTTATTTTTTTATTTATTTTGACTGCATCAGACCAACATGGCTACCTACCTGAATCTAGAATGATGCCCCTGTTAAATAATAAAGAGAATTCCTCTAATTCCCCTCCAATGTTTATTTCCTTTGGACACCTCCACAGGCCAATTCCCTCCCAAAAGCATTACTGTCGAGCATGCTAGATCTCATGGAGGCCTCACTTCCCCATAGCAAGATTGTGTTCTCCTAATACTCATGTCCACAATGGGAAGGTGAGGGCTGTCCTATCTTTCTTTACAAAATTCAGAAATTAGGAAACGGAGCGATGGAGGATTCTTAATGCATTGGCCCCGCTCCAGAAAGCAGACTAAGTAATTCAGAACTCTGAAAGCCAGAGAGAGACATATGGAGCCTAAGAATAACAAAGCTGTTTCAACCATTTCTCTACAGGTGACCATGAAACAGGAGGCTTCTCAGTCTAGCCTTGGCTCTTTTGCATCTGAACAGACACAGAAGAAGGATGCGCTGCCATGCAGAAATGTAATAAATAGCTTTATATTTACAGAGTTATTAATTGGGAGTGAGTCCAGTTTCCAATAACATTACACCAACAAGTTCATTAATAATCCTGACTCGACTGCTGAGCTCTTTTGCTTCTGAAATTCATTTGTGCTCGCCGACTGTCAAGAGTTTCGCTCGACTCATTCTCCAAACTGTGTAAACAGGCTGCACATTAATAATTACTTCATTCATAATTTTTTTCACGGGAGGCTTGCTTCTCATCAGTCAAAATCTTCCCTTTTTCTTTCCTTCTTTTCTCTCCTTCCGCACCTCCCGGTTTGATTGTTTATACTCCCGGTGTCTCACAATGGAAACGCCAACGATTCTTTTAAGCCAACGACGACGTTGGGCACTCCAGGCTTCATTTCCATTTCCATTCATTTTCATTTCCGGTGCCTCTAAATAACGGGCTTTTTCTGGGGGAGAGAAAAAAATCGATGCGCTCTGCCCAAACCATTTTTAATGACATCATTAACATTCATAACCAGTGTGGCATTTTATGGCAACACAGAGAGGTTCGGGGAATACAATATGATTGAGCAGAAACATAGTTTTTCATCACTTCTTGTTCTGAAATGTCAAAAAGTACCCTTTTATGCTCAATGAATTTTCAACAGATTTGATTTCTTTCCATGTCACTTAAGGTCATTGCACATCCCCCCCCCCCTTTTATCTTATTACAGGCCGCTCAATGCGAGCCACTGGCTCTTCCCTGCAGCACGGCTGGCTCTCAATAAGAACTGCCTGGCTGGATCAGACCAAAGGTCCATCTAGTCCACTATTCCCCTGCCAACAGGGACATAGCCATGGCTGCTCCAATATCTAACCTAGCAGGAAGCCCATCCACAGCCAACCACCTGTCATAGAATTGTAGAGCTGGAAGGGACCCCGGGGTCATCCAGTCTGACCCCCTGCAATGCAGGAATTGCAGCTAAAGAATCCCTGGCAAATGGCCATCCAACCCATGCTTAAAAGCCTCCTTTGAAAAAGAAGAAGAGTTTGGATTTGATATCCCGCTTTATCACTCCCCTTAAGGAGTCTCAAAGCAGCTAACATTCTCCTTTCCCTTCCTCCCCCACAACAAACACTCTGTGAGGTGAGTGGGGCTGAGAGACTTCAGAGAAGTATGACTAGCCCAAGGTCACCTAGCAGCTGCATGTGGAGGAGCGGAGACGTGAATCCAGTTCACCAGATTACGAGTCCACCGCTCTTAACCACTACACCACACTGGCCCACCACCTTCAGAAGGAGGCCGTTCCACTGTTGAACAGCTCTAACTGTCAGAAAGTTCTTCCTAACGTTGAGTCGGAATCTCCTTTCTTGTCATTTGAATCCATTGGTTCAATGGAGCAGCAGAAAACAAGCTTCCTCCATCTTCCACATGACAGCCCTTCAGATATCTGAAAATGTCTATCATATCACATTTCAGTCTCCTCTTCTCCAGCTCTCTCAACCATCTCTCATAAGGCTTGGTTTACAGATGCTTTATCACCTTGGTCTCCCTCATATGCTGAGGCTGTCATTTCACCTCTCGGTCTTCTCTTCTCAACTCCTTCAACTGGCTTCACCAGGTTCCTCGCTCCATCAAATTTCACCTTGCAGAACCTATTCCAAAGGGTGGAAGAGAAGGAAAGCAGGGCCACTCCACTCAGCTCAGCTTAGCAATTTTTGGTTCCTTGAGCTGTTTTTCATTCCAGCTGCTCATTATGAAAACTTTGTAACTATGGGTTCGTCCAGACTTCCTTAGTGCCATATTTCTAGGCACAGATCCATGCTTGAATGCTCCATGTCTGAGTGCTATTGCGGTTGTTGTTTGTCCCTGCAAAAACCACTGAATCAGAGCAAATGGCAATCACTTTACCACTGAATTGGAGCAAATGGCAATCCATAGAAAACCCAAATTGCCATTGTTCCGATTCAATGTTAAAGGTGTCAGGGCAAGAAGAAAGCTCTCACATGCAGAGCTTTGAATTGTGGACCTGTGCCTAGAAAATGCGGGGCAAAAAATAAGTTTCGGTGATCCCTAAAAAACAGTGACTGAGTGTGATTTTTTTCCTCTTCCCCTTCCAATCCCTTTGCAAACACTGCAAAGTTGTTTTTTGTTTTTTTAAGCAGAAGAATCGAGTAAAAATCCTTCCAGCAAACAAATCCTTCCAACAAAATAAAATCGGAGACAATGGTTTACAAGGGACACAGTCCAGAGAATAAACAAGGGCTGTCCTTAGTAAATAGGAACAGTTGGAAGAGCACGTCGTGCAAATGATATTGGCTGGATAGTTCTCCTCCCTGTTTCCCCCCCCCCCCCATGCTAACTCTATGCGATATTCAAATGATTCCAAAACAGGCACAACAATCTTCCTTTCCAAAAGATTTCATTTCATTTCATTTTGTGCTGTGACACCAGTGCAGAACTGTAAAAGCTGTAATTGTCGAAGCCGTCGACTGCTGTAATTTCAAGAGACGGGGTCTTCTTAATTTTTGGAAGCAGCCGTTGTTTTAATTCCCAACCTGTCACCAGAAATGATCCGTTCTTTTGACTGTGTGCGAGAACGCAGTCCTCCCCCGCAGAAATCCTACCACTGTGGCGCTGTAATTATTGGGTTCACCTTTTCTTATCCCTCTTCCTTTTGGAAGGTGTTTGGTAGAAGTTTGACACTGAGCAAAGCACCCACATGTAGATGTAATTGGACTCCATGATTGTTCCTTTGGCTGCCTGGAGAAAGTAACCCAACAGGAGGCATTTGCAGCTTTCGACTCTTACTCAGCTGCCGAGTCATTAGGAAAAGCTTTCTAATTCTTACCCAAGAAGGAAATGAGACTGAATTAAAACAAGCCACTGAGAGTTCAGCGAGCAATCTCTGCACGCAGGAGGAAACTAGGTAAGAATAGAAACGCTGGATTTCCAACAGGCCGACCTGGGTTAACCAATCCATTTCTAGTCCTGTTTTTCAGAGCTCAGTTCGTCCAGTTCCCAGATCTCCATTCTCTGATTAGTTAGCAAAGAAGAGGCATGAATCACAATAGTTTTTTATTATTTACAGTTGCAGCCAGCTCAACTGAGAGACAGCAAGTTGTGGCCTTTATTTCTGGGAGGTGCCTTGGGAACCCAAATCTAAGAGCACAATAGGAAATCATGAGACATGTTCACCAAATGTCAGGAGGGGACAATGCTTTAAAAATCTTCCCTGTAACTCCAGCTTATGCCTGGGGTGAACATGCTACTGAGGGCAGAAGAGTGGGCTGTGTGGCTTGTCAGAAAAGGTGGGGTGAGGCTCTTTGTAGCCCCACATAGGATGAATAAACAGCATTTCCATACGCACTGGTTTCCGTCAAGGTGTCCCGTTACACCAGAAGCGGTTTAGTCATGCTGGCCACATGACCCAGAAAGCTGTCTGTGGAGAAATGCTGGCTCCCTCAGCCTGAAAGCGAGATGAGCACAGCAGCCCCATAGTCGCCTTTGACTGGACTTAACCATCCAGGGATCCTTTACCTTTCTTTTTACCTTTCCTCATAGTAAGGCATCGGGGCATAGCCAGGGCGGCAGGGGGCAGCTGCTCCTCCAATCAAGTAAATAAATAAATATACTTAACTAACTGACCAATTGTGTAACTTGGTTCTGCCTCCCCCATAATTATAGTCCCCCCCCCAAAAAAAAAATCCTGGCTAAGCCAAGGTAAGGCATTCTGGGTGAACTGGATGAGAACAGTGCCTCTACCAGCCAGTGCTTTATTACAGTAGCTAGAAATTCTGCTTTAAATTTAGCACAAAGCCAACACTTCCAAATCTTAACTAAATTTAGAACAATTTCAAGCCACCATAACGAAACGGCAGCAATCCAGGGCTGCCTTTCCCAGAAAGCCTTGTTCTGAGGAGGAGGAAGAAGAACCATCAGGGCTAACGCAGTAACTGAGTTGTGGTCCTTCACCAAACAATAAAACAAGATTCTAGTCCTCATGGTTCTGAATAAAGGGTTGGTTTAAATAGAAATCTGCTTTATGCAGAGTGAGGCCATTGGTCCATCTGTCTCAGTATTGTCCTACACTGGCTGGCAGTGTCTCTCAAGGGTTAGAGGCAGGGAACTTTCCCATCCCCACCCAGATTGAAACTGGTACCTTCGGCATGCCAAGCTGGGGGCTCCAGCATTAAGCAGCAGCCTGCCATTGCTGCAGCCAGATCAATATTGCCTGCACTGACTGACAGCGACTCTGGAGAGTTTCAGGCACAGAGGTTTTTCCCCCAGTCCTGCCTGGAGATGTCGGAGCTTGAATCCGAGCATGCAAAGCACCTGTGCCATTCCCCTTAACTCACCCCAGGTCAGACAAACCACTGCACACCAGACTCTGTCCAGGGATGATCCCAGTTTAATGCATTTTAATGTCTTGGTCCATCACTGATCATCATCCACATGGTTGCTTTATTGAAATTCTTCCCTTGGAATGGGAGGGCACAGAAGTGGGAGTTTTCCCTGGACATCGGATGACTAATTGCAGCCCTGCTCACAGTGGCAGGAGAAAAGACCTGGAAGGAGACCTTGAACTGCCTGAGGGCAAACTTTGTGAGGGAGAATTTCCATTAGAAGCATCCTTCTCTCTCTCTCTCTCTCTCTCTCTCTCTCTCTCTCTCTCCACCATCTTCCGCAAAGCACCTGCGATCGTCACTCATTGAGCAACCCTTTAGCTGGAAGCAGAAGGCACGTTTTCTGCTGGTTTGCCTTAACCTTGAAGCCCTTGCTTATCAATTTCATCGTGCCTCTTTCTCAGCCCCCAGGACACCATGATAGATGGGGTTAATAACAGCTTAAAGGGAGTTTTTATACCTCCAGACGAATGCAAGACATCGCTGAGTCGGTTGCGTTCACGTCATCAGAAGGAAACCGGGTGTCCTCAGCTCTTCCAATGTTGCATCAAACCAACTTTTTTCACAGAGGGGAAGTCAAACTCATGCAAACGGAATGGACTTCAAAATTAAATTGGTTGGGCCTGGGGGTTTGGATGGGCAATAAATTGTATTGGGCTTTGTTTTTAATTATTTTTTTGTTTTATTGAAGCATTGTGCATTCTAGTATTTTCCCATGTCTCTCTGAAACACATGTGTAAAGGAACTAAGAAGCTTAATAAATAATAATGCTTCCATCTAATTTTTTCAGAGGTGAAGTGGGAAAAATAATAATGCTTCCATCTAATTTTTTCAGAGGTGAAGTGGGAAATACATAAAATAATAATAATAATAATAATAATAATAATAATAATAATAATAATATATTGCCCTTCTTCCCCCCCAAAAGCCGCAAATGCAGATTGAACGCAGGGATTCTTAACCAGGGAATATATTATGCAAGTCGTGATCCTAGTGCAATGCCCTCAGTGGGAAAAAAAGAGAAATCGGCATCAGGTCACATTTAAAGGAGAACCTACCT